CAGTCTAAGAAGGCACAGTCATTGATGTGAGAGTAGCTCTAGATTCTTATTTTGAGTAGGTGGCATACAGTTAAACCTGGACAAAATATTTCTAAGGGAACTGCAAGCCTTAAAGATCTAGAGATGCCTAGAGCACTGACTAGATTCAATCCTTGGCTCCAACAGATGCCTTGGAAGTGTCTACATGTCACTCAGACAGATATTAGATATGTCTTTCCATGTAGATTTCAGAGGTAGCATCTGCATATCACTTGATATAATAGAATGTTCTCTTAATGTGCTTTATATAGATAGTAGCTCATGTAATTATTTGTAAGGGAAGGACAAAAATTTATTTTCTGTAAGTATTGTAGTAAAGCATCCAAGAGGATCATGGATTTTTTATTTTCTCCAGCTCAGGCTGTGTGCAATGATGGTACTTTAGGTCATACTCCAAATCCACTGTCGTTGAGTCAGTTCTAGCTCCTGGTGACTAGAGGACAGAGTAGAGCTGCCCCATAAGGTTTCCAAGACTGTCAGTCTTTATGGAAGCAGACTAACTCATCTTTCTCCTGAGGAGTGACTGGTGGGTTCAAACCACCAATCTTTTGGTTAGCTGCCAAACGCTTCAACCACTGTGTCACCAGGGCTCCTCCTTTTGGTGATAGGATGCTGATTTTATTTCTGAGACATGAGTTTTCTTATAGTTACCTTTCATGTATATGATGAAGATTGCATCAGGACTGTTTTTCTATCATACCTAGATATGGATGCTATGTCTATAAAGTGTCAAGATGGAGGGTATTATTCACCAACATTGCAAACACAGACAATACACTGGTCAGGGCAATGCTTTTGGAGGCTCTATAGCTCTGCTAGAAATGTGATGGACACTGCTAGTGAGGATGGATCACCAGAGACAATTTACGAATTATATGAGGAATACAGACTCATTACTTTTCAGCTTTACCCTTCCTCTTACTCACTTGAACAGGTTTTAGATCACTTTAGGATCATTTCCATGATTCAAAACAATGTGCCTTTGCCTCTAAGACTAAAGACTCCCCATTGGAATTCCAAACATCATTTCAGACGGTAAAAGGAATGTTAAATTGACTGAATGAAATGCAGCAGCTAAAAGCTGTATCTATGAGGCATAATTAGGCAAATAGAGGAGGGGAAAACCAAGGGCAGTCTCATCACTGAAACGTATCAACTCATTCACAGTTCACGTTCTTTCCCTTGTTCACCAACACAAGTGATTTGTCAGAGTGATCATAGTATCCTAGATCAGAAGTTGTATATTATGCTTTTGTTCTTGGCACATTATCTTATAATCAATCATGTGGGTCTTTATGGTTGGTTTGTGCAATGGGAGCCTCTTGGGAAGATACATAAAACTTTTCAAGTTAAGAAGCTTAAGTTTTCTACTCCAAACACTTCTTACCTAAAGTTATTTCAAAGAGATTTTTTTTCTTGCCTTTATAAAGATCTACGAAGATAGAGAGTCCATGATTCCCTTAGTAAGCTCTTTTAATGTCTGTTTACTCTAAGTCATTCATCACCATGCCACATCCAAACATGATTTTCAGGCAGAGAACATATGGGTTATGTTTAGTAAATCATGACACGGTCGTGAGAGCATGGCTCTGTGGTTTGACTCTGGTGGCAAGTCATATGCTATTTTCTGATGCCATTTATCTTAAAACCAGGCAACACTCATTTAAAGCTTTGCCACTTACTGGCCCTGTGGCTGTGGGACATAATAATAGCACGTATTTCTCAGGGTTGTTGTTAGGAGTAAATGAGCTGGTATTCATCAAGTACTAAGAACAGTGCCTGGCACTTTGTGACCTGTATTTGTTAAATGGCTAAGTCTGTTTTAAAAGGTCATGTTACATTGGTGCCTCATAAACTCTGAAGTTTGATTTTAGAAGGGCCAACACATCAACACATAAGTTGTTATGTGCCGTCGAGTCGGACCTGTCTCATAGCCACCCCTCCTTGGGTTTCCGAGGCAGTATCACTACGGAAATAGATCCCCTAAGCTTCCTTCCAAGGAGTGGCAGGTGGGTTTGAACTGCCAGCCTTTTGGTTAGCAGTCAAGTGCCTTAGGCACTATGTCACCAGAGCTCCCATCAACACATATATACATGCAAAAAAGATTTACATTTTTTTTTTCCTTTAAATAAATGCCGTGGACAATTGCATGTTGTTTTCCTAATAGGTTTACTTTTTTTTTTTTTTACTACTTTTACTGTTTTTTTTTTCTTTTACATGTCTCCTATATTTATAGAAGCCTGATCTCTCACCAGCTCCATGATCCTTGCTATACTTGAGCCCATTGTCGCAGCCACTGTGTCAATCCATCTCATTGAGGGCCTTCCCCTCTTTCGTCTACCCTCCACCTTACCAAGCATGACATCCTTCTCCAGGGAATGGTCCCTTGTGACAACATGACCAAAGAAGGTGAGACGAAGTCTGGCCATTCTTGCTTCCAAGGAGCATTCCAGGTGCACTTTCTCCAAGACAGATCTGGTAGTTCTTTTAGCAGTCCACAGTACTTTCAGCATTCTTCGCCAGCACCACAACTCAAAAGCATCAGTTCTTCTTCAGTCTTCCTTATTCATTGTCCAGCTCTCACATGCATACGAGGTGAATGAAAATATCATGGCTTCTGTCAGACGCACCTTAGTCTTCAAGGAGACATCCTTGTTCCTCAGCACTTGAAAGAGGTCCCTTGCAGCCAACTTGCCCAGTGCTATATGTCATCTAATGTCTTGACTGCTGCTTCCATTGGCATCGATTGTAGAACCAAGCAATGTGACGTCTTTGACAACTTCAATCTTTTTTCCATTTATGGTGATGCTGCTTATAGGTCCAGTTGTGAGGATTTTTGTTTTCTTTATATTGAGATGTAATCCATACTGCAGAGTGTATTCTTCAATCTTCATCAATCAGTGCCTCAAGTCATCCTCACTTTCAGCAAGCAAAGTTGTGTAGTCAGTGTATTGCAGGTTGTTAATGATTCTTCCTCCAATCTTGATGTCACGTTCTTCTTCATATAGTGCAGCTTCTTGGATTATTTGCTTAGCATATAGTTTGAATAAGTATGGTGAAAGGATACAACCCCGATACACTCCCTTCTTGATTTTAAATCATTCAGTGTCTCCTTTTTCTGTTCGAACAACAGCCTCCTGGTCAATGTACAAGTTCCTCATGAGCACAATCAAGAGTTCTGGAATTACCGTTCTTCTCAATGTTATCCACAATTTGTATGATCCACACAATCAAATGCTTTTGCATAGTCAATAAAACACACAAGTAAACATCTTTCTGGTATTCTTTGCTTTGAGCCAGGGTCTATCTGACAGCAGCTATGATATCCCTTGTTCCATGTCCTCTTCTGAATCCAGCTTGTACCTCTGGAATTTCTCTGTCAATATATTGCTGCAACCATTTTTTAATTATGTTCAGTAAGATCTTATTTGCATGTGATATTAATAATATTGTTCAATAGTTTCCACATTCTGTGGGATCACCTTTCTTTGGAATGGGTACAAATATGGATACAAATACCAGGGAGTAGGCAGTTATTAGAACAATCAACTGTACGAGATCAAAAGGGCAGCTTTTGCCCAGGGACAAAGCTTAGAAGACATAAAGGAATATAAAAGAAGGACTAAGGGAAATGACAAACCCAGCGAGGAAGTGAAAGAGTGCTTTACATTGTGCAGATTACAATGCATGTCACAAAACATAACGTGTAGGAATTGTTGAATGGAAAACCAATTTGCTCTGTCAGCCTTCATCCAAATAACAATTCAAAAACAACAACAGCAAAAAGAGTTAGCATTGGGAAGAACATTTTAACTAATAATCACATCTGTAACACATGAAAGGGAGTATAGTATCTGAACTCTGGTGGCGTAGTGCCTAAGGCATTTGACTGCTAGCTGGAAGGCTGGTGGTTCAAACCCAGCAGCCACTCCTCAGAAGGAAGACTGGGCAATCTACTTCTGTAGAGATACTGCCTTGGAAACCCAAGGGGGGGGTGTCCTTATGAGTCAGGACCGACTCGATGGCAGTGAGGTTTTTTTTTTTTTTTTTTTTAAGTATCTGAACTAGCAGTTACAGTTGGGTACAAAAGAGAACAGAGCACAATTACTTTGAGCATTTTCACATGTCTCCTACAATACAGAAAGGAAGGTTGGACTCAAAGACCTAAATGGCAAGAGGCTCACATTTATGTTCTGGGTTCTGAACATCAAAAATCATAGTAAATTATTTAATCTTTCATTAGTCATTTTTCTTCTACATCAAAAGCAGAAATGATTGGCTAGATCTCATCTAAGTATCCTTCCACCTAGAGAGGGCTTCTTATCCTTCCACTGTGCTTTCTATGATGGACTGACAGTTGTCAGATCAGGAGACAGTCCATCAGAATGGAAATATAGGTATCAACCCAGAGGCAGCCTCGTGATGTGTTCATTGTTGAAGGACATTACTCAGGTGTTTGACAAGTGCCTGGGATTGTGCCTATATGAGATGAAGATGTGGTCATGATCACCTTCCTGTGCTAGTGTGCTCTATAAATGCCATTTACAGTGATAGTAAAAAAAAAAAAAAAAAAAGTCAAAATTTATGTTATTTCAGAGCACAACACTTCAGAGGACTATTCTGCCTGTTTATTTGACTATCTCCGGGCCAAGCAGCAGACAGAATTTAGTTAAAGGAAAGACCACAAAGACCATGACTTCTATGCTGGGAGTTTATTAGAAACAGACAACATGATAGAGGAGTGAGACTGGCATCCTGAGAGTATATGGAGGATAGAGTATTGTTCATTCGTAGTTAATGAGAGAAGATGTCTTCAGTATATAGTGCAGACTATATACTCCTGGTTTGAGGAGATGAGGAACGGACTGCTCAAGAAAATGCATGTTGTTCTGCGTTGACGCTGTGGGGGATGCAGGATGGCCTCTGCAAGCGCTAGGGAGCCCTTAGTAATGACGGGCTGCTCAGCAGCAGCAGGAGGGCCTGCAGACGGTGCTGCAGGGGGCAGGCTGGCAGCAGGGGGGCCGGCAGCAGGGGGACTGCACAGAGATGGGCTGACAGCAGGTGGTGGCCCAGCAGCAGGGCCTGCAGACCACGGACGTGCACGACGAGGGGCAGCACGTGATGGGCCGGCAGCAGCCTTCCTGCAGGCTGCACGGGTCACAGCAGATGGGCTTGCGGCTGGGCTCGCAGATGGTGCGTGTGTAGCGTGGCACGCAGGTCACGGGGCGGCACACGGTGGTCTGGAAGGACACAGGGCGAGAGGAGCAGGGGTCTTGGGGGCAGCAGGGCTGGCAGGAGGTGGAGCCGCAGCAGGAGCCGGTCATGGTGGGTGTGGGCTGGTGTGGGTGAGGCTGTAGAGAGCAGATAGGTTTTCTCAGGTGTGAATGTCTTCCTCTCCCTCTGGGCCCTTTTTATACCCTGGCCAGGTGCTGATGATCCTAGGACACAAGCTCACTTCCTTGTCTTTGTTTATTCTGAAATGGCCCTGTCAGGTTACTAAGTTCTCTAGACATTTTTTAGTTGCATAGGTATTCATAAAAGGCCATTTGTTTTCCTTATTAAATGGAGACCCATTATGCTTTGCTATTTATGGTTCAAATATGAATTTAATGACCCTAATTTCAAAGCCTCCAATTATCTTTATAATTCAGCGATGCTTGTGCCAGTTAATGTTTTGATAGCATAAAGTAGCTGTCATGCTGCTAGAATTACTTAGAAACCAAACCAAAATTAAACCCATTGTCACTGAGTCGGTTCCGACTCATAGCAATCCTATAGGACTGCCCCCATAGGGTTTCCCAAGCTGTAAATCTTGAGGGAAGCAGAGTGCCTCATCTTTCTCCAGTGGAGAAGGCTGGTGGGTTTGAACCACTCACCTTTTGGTTAGCAGCTGAGTGCTTAACCCTGCACCACCAGGGCTCCTTTACTTAGGAACAGTGGAAGTGATTTCCCAAATTATAAGTATTTCTCTGCTGCTAAGCTTCCTGGGCAAAACCTGTCAAGAATAATTCTACATAAGTAGTTTAAAAGGCATAGATTGTTGATAAAGAGTATTCCAACCCAGTTTTTGGAGTTAGTGGGCCAATGTCAGCCGTGGTATTTGTCTTAGATATACATTCATTGATTTCCATTATATTTTTCCAAACCAGGATAAGTTTCATTATTTATAATCTTCATAATGGTCAATATTATTGAGCTCTAACTATGTTCTAAGCATCACGCTAAAGGAAGTAAGTATATACATTTTTACTCCTAGTTAGTATTGGAGCTAATACTCATTCTGGAATCACTTGGGGGAAAATTACATTTTTGAAAGCCCTGGAGTTGGACCTGACTCATAGCGACCCCTCCTTGGGAGCTGAAAAATTAGGTAGTATCATATTCCCTGTCCTTAAAGAATGTCTATTTAAAGAATCTTTAGGAATTTTATCAGTGAAATTAGTTTTTTTCAAACAGTAGTTATTTATGTGAAGGTTAATTTTTTGAGCCATCTAAAAGGACTCTGTGTCCTAATAATATCCTTAGGAATTGGAAGAATTACTTCCCACACAACCTGTATAAGGAGATAGTCTTACAGTTGAACATAAGTGAAGGGACAATGAGGCACAATGAACAAAGCCACCAATAGGTGAAGAAGGACCTTTGAAGCCAAGTTTGCAGTCTATCAGCATAACAAAACTCCCAGGTAGTGATTCCAGCTGAAGCTGTCTCTTGCCCTGCCTTGCCCATCTCCAAAGTATCTCTTGCTGCAGCTGCTCCTCACGCATTATGCCTGAGTCCATTTCTGCTTACCAAACCAATTGCGATTTCCTATTTCACACTGTCAGGGCCTGTAGGAAGTTATGTTACTCAACCTTTTTGTAGCCTCTGCCTCCAGATTTTACATGGCTCTGGCTTTTTTCTTTACAAGCAAGTCTGTTCTTCTAGATGTGTGAAGGATCAAGCTTAAGTCTTTTTATTGTCATGTCTCTTGCTCAGTCCTTTTCATTGCTCCTGGAACTGCACCAGCCACTGAGATAACCATTCCGTGGAGTTACTGTGGAAACAGATCCAGTGGCAATGGTGAGCTTGTGAAAAAGCAAAACACTCTTTATCTGAGAAAATACTGTAAGATGAGAAAGTCTCTAGAAGGCTAACAAGGACCATTCTGAGAGGAAGCAAACAGATTGGAGAATTTTTAAAAATGGTCATCAAGAGCTTATGGAAACTACCCTACAACCAAAACTAGATTATACTTGGGCTGACCGATCTGACCAGGGGACAATAGATGAGCCCAGTTAGAATGGGAGAAAATTTCAGAGCAAAACTCAAATTCTTAAAAAAGTCCAGACTAACTGGACCACCTGTGCCCTGAGGACTCTCTGACACTTGCCCTGAGATACTCTAAATTTTGTATAAAAGCTATTCCCTGAGATCACCTTTTAACACCAAGAGTGACACACAAAATAAAGGACATCATCTTTTAGGTTGGTGCTCTACTAAAAAACCATCTGTATGAGTCCAAAGGGTCAACATTTAATTAAAAGCAAAGATTAGAAGATAAGGGGATAGGGAAACTAGAGTACTGGAAATGATACAACCAGAACACAATTAAAGAGAATGTTGACTCAATGTGAAAAATGTAACTGATGTCACTGATCAATTTGTGTGGAAATTGTCAAATCTGAACCTAACTTGGCTGTGTAAACTTTCACCAAAAACACAATGAAATATTATTTTTAAAAAGAACATGTGGGAGGCGGGGCAAGATGGCAGACTAGGCAGAAGAATTGCACAGACCCTCTTCAACAAAGAAAAGGGAA